ATCCCTTGGGCCGAACTAACCTTGGAAGGTTTCCAAAGGTTCCAAGGTTATCATCAGTGTAAATACCAGCATCAACGAATGGTCATCGAGCAATGTAACGTCACCGTGGTAGTCAAGCGTGTCTGGCCTCCTTCCACTGGGGTGTTTTCAACTGCAAGGGTTGGAAATATGGGCCGCTACGGTAGATCATACGAAGGCTACCATGATAGGTACGCTTTGGGTCACATGATCGGGCTGTTGCCTAGGTGTTCGCACATCACAAAAGTATCTTCGCCCAGTCCCACTCCAGCGACAAACCGTTACATGGTACTTCCTCCAATCTCTCGGCAATCTACAAGCAGAAGCCTTATCCTTTCCTCATCACTCATTACTACAAACCCACCAAACATGAATACACTTGCACACGTCCCGAGTGGTCCCAAAGACATCCTTTTACAGCCTCAATCCAGATTATTCGCGCTTCCGCGTGAGTTGCGTGATCTGGTCTATGAGTACTATCTTATGGCTGCGGATGGGTATCATTATAATCATGAGACAGGGAAGCTGACACAGATTGGGGGCCAGCCTATAGACATCGCTCTTACCTACACTTGCAAACTGGCAACTGCTGAGATAAATGGTCGCGCGCTTACTCTAAACGCCATCAAGTTCACCACAGCTCATGACGAAGGAATCCGCGACCGGGCAGGACAGTACGCACTGATCGTACAAAGACTTGAGGCTTTGAAGTCAGGCATACTTTGCGCTGTCTATGAATGCATCGAATCATCGACCAGCAGCGAGTTTGAGCCCGAATTCTCGTATCTTCTACCCGTCATCAGCCAACTTCGGACGTTGGGAGCGGACCACGAACTCGTTCATAAGAGTTGGGGCGAAACCCCCTCGCTTCATCGCCGATTTGTCGTACGAGCTCTGGAAATACTCTCCGAACACACGAATTTCAGCGAAAGAATCACTAGCGACGTCAACATAGGGCGGTTTGGCGATCGCGTCCATGAGATTCTCTCGCTAGATGACTCGCCCTGGAACACACCAGATAGCAACGAGATAGCCAACATGTGGCGCGTTCTGGACGATGAACCAATGTTCCTTGAGATATGGGAAAGAACTAAACACAGATTCTCCGCGGCAGCGACAGCGATACGGTTCCTTTCGTCACTGCCCAAATCTACGCGATGTCGCATTCGTCGTGTGCTCTTGGACGAGGACCGCGTGTCAGTTGCTTGGCCTGAGTGCCACGCCCAAGGGTTGATTCCCTTCTGTCAGGAAAATGGCGCGCTTCGAGTGGAGCGACGAGTTGATTTGTGGAGAAACGCACTTCCTGGTGGTGCCGAGCCGATAAATTGCGTCGCCAGTGCAGCAAGAAGTCATCATCCTCAAGATCGTATGGATCGTCTGCGCGCCGGATACATCACAAACCCATGCTTAGCACCCTGGATCATGGAAGCACTCGCCCTTGACGGTCTGGGCATGCCACCTCAATGCTTCAAGCTGAAACTCGATGGACAGCCAACACCAGAAAGGAGCTCCGAAGTTTTCAAGGTCGTGCAGCGGGACGCCGCATGGCAGACTGCCTTCGAGAGACATTTTGCAGAGCAACACGATACCCCCAGCTGGTTCGAAATGAGGGATAATGGAAGCTACCAAATGAGAGGATTTCCGGAGGCCATCACAGCCATCGTCCGAGGAACATCGATTGTTAGCTGCAACTTCGATACTGATACTCCAGAAGACCCGGATACTATAGCGCAGGATGGACGTCACTGGACGATGGGTGAATGGGAGCAGCAATGGCGTATGCACGAACCTCGCGCGTTCAATACCGCAGTGCCATTGCCTGGCTGGGAAAGCCTTCGTCTCTCAGAGGAGGCATTGCCGGAATGACTGTGTCGCGATGTAGGATGGATCAGAGCCGTCAGCAGATGCTCAGGTAAGATATCGACAGTTTAGGTCCAAAGGTAGGATCGAAAAGACCCCAGGGCGTTCTGTTCAGCCCAAGCATGGCGCGTATAGCTTCAGTCCGCTTACTTACAACGCCCTCAATACTTATACACATGCCCCAATCAGTTATCAGTTGAATCATCTTCCGTCTATGTTCCTGGTGACTCTTATCAGACCGTTGGGAGCCGACCATCGATTGTTGCGAATTCTATTTCCCAGCGACCATCCCTCAAAGAGATGTAGGGCTTGAGTCAACAGCGTCAAACGAGCGTAGATTCTGATGCGCGTTCAGAGTGCATAGTTTCATCTGCGATCCGTTGGGTGTTAGAGGCTTCAATGTAGTGTGTTGGACATGGGACGGTACCTAGGTAAATTGGCCCTCTCGCTAGCTAGCCTGGCACGTGCCTGGGCGCCTGCCGCGCGATCTCCGCCCGAGCGTCGGTGTGCTGCGACGCTGCCACACTGCCCATACGGCCACTCAACAACTCACCATCACCACAATTTGACGACCTCGTCACACCTTGATGGACCCAGTCAATGCTATCGAACGCGCGCGAAACGCACTGCCCATCGACGTCTTCTAAAGCTGCGCGATTGGATGCCTGACCCTCCCACCTGTTGAATGGGGAGGTCACATTCACAAGGATATTATCGCAACCACTCAACAAGCATGGTGCGCCCAAGCTACATAACCCGAATAGGCCTATAAGAACCAGCATGATACACATCATGAACAGCAGGATTACGTACATCGTGATGCTGACTCTGGCTGAGCTGCAGGGCTCACTTCCTGAATAGTGGACAAGTTCCGCGGTACTACCAAGGCAACCCCATAACTAGGCATCTTCGTGCGCACGAGTGCATTGTTTCCGGATGACTCTGCAACTACCGTTCCAGTACTATAAAGAGCTTGACCACCCGGCTTACAAGACAGTCTCATTTCCCACATCGTTACGCCTTCCACGGTACCTCCCAGACTCGGCAGACCACGTCCACCGCATCCCGATCGATTTACCCCCCGCATTATACAATACTGCCTGGTTCGAAAGCGATTTCCACGAACTATGACGCTTCTGAAGGGCTTCCACAAGCTTCCGCGCGAGCTTCGAGACCAGATCTACGAAGAATACTTCACCCTTGAAGGTGGGTACAGATACAACCATAAGACAAACAAGCTACTTACAGCGAAGGGCGAGGCAATTCATCTCAGCATTAGGTTGGCCAGCCGCCAAATAGCTGTTGAGACTCGTGGGCTGGCGCTCAAGCTAAACACAATTAGCTTCTCAACAGTGTTCGATGAGGATCTCCGCGAACGAGCCGGGCACTTCAACAGTCTCCTCACGATGATTAGCGACCTGAAATCCAAGTACCTCGTATGGCGGTCATCACGCTCTGGCTTGATCGATGATGGAGTACGCGACTACGTAGAAGACCACTTCCCCGAGTTCCTGCCAGTCATTCGAACAATGCAACTATCAGACATCAACAATAGTGATAGCAACTCCTGGAAAGAGTCACCATCTCAAAGTCGACGATTCATTGCCTCCACACTGAAGACTATCGCGAAACAACCTTGTTTTGGAGAAGTCATAGAGCGACATTCGTACTGGACTGCGCCAGGTTCTGAGCCAGGTCCTGATCCAATGGCAGTAATATCATGCGAGCATTCGCCATGGATACTTCCGAGCAGCGAGACGATTTCTGCCATGCGCGAAATCATGTTGCCCTACCCAGTCGAGCTCAGTCGTCGTAGACAAGGAAGCTACTGGACCAGGGAGAAGTACCGGTTCTCAGCCGCGACTATAGCTATTGCGTTCTTAGGCTCTATCTCTACGGAAACGCGACTTAGTATACGTAAGATACTACTACTTGAAGACCACACTAGTGTCGCATGGCCCGAATGCCATGGCCAAGGCTTGGTCACATACTGTCAAGAGAATCTCAAATTACGCATAGAACGTAGGGTTGACCTGTGGAGAGCCTGCCTACCCGCCGCATCCACCCCCCTTCATGCCATCACCGGTAGGGCGCTTGCATACTTACGAGAATACAAGTATGATCGGATCACTGCGAGCATCGTCAGCCGAGGGGAGATGCGCCACGGCGGTGTGGCTGATTGGATCATGGAAGTCATGGCATTAGAGAGCTTGGGCATGCCCCAGAACTCCTTCACCCTGATCATAGACGGTGCGGCAGTGCCGGATGGATCGACACAGGTCTTCGATGTTCTACAGCGCGACGCTGCATGGCAGTCGGCTTTTCAGCGGTGCGTAATCGATGCAATCGATTGGCCAAATCCGCACATGTGGCTGAGGTGCCGGGAGAATCTCGCGTACGTCATGAGAGGTTTTCCTGAAGCCCTGCAGGCGATAAGCGATCACAAGTCATCAGTCAAGTGCAACTTCGATACTGGCCTTGTACGCGATGTCGACCAAGTCGTGGCTCTGGGGCGTTCTTGGACTACTGACGAGTGGCTTGTTAATTGGCGGGAGATTGGCGATCAGGCCGACATCCACACCAGTGCGCCATTGCCGAGCTGGCTTGATCTTCGCTGGGAAGATCTACTGGAAGGTGAAAGTATGGACTAATCGCAAGACCCATCGTTTGCCAGAAGGCCATTTACACAGGTGTAGCCGGTCATCACTCTCATGATGGGCTGGAAGTGCGAAGGTCATCGTAGAAAGACTTCACGTCGACCTGGGTGTCATGATAGCGTTTCACTAGTCTAAAACTATGCATGAATCTATATGTTATTGTGCGTTTGAAGTTATACAGTCTGTGGTACTGTAAGCACCGACAATCTGCTTGCGTTGATCTCCTCTGTTTCTTGCACACCTGGGCAGGGTGACACCCGAATAGCGCTCTCCAATGTTACAAATAGGGTCCGAGAACTAGGATCAAAGACGAGGACGATACATGGTAGACAACAAGATGAATGCTCAGACATCAGATATGATTCATTCGTTCGCCGTCTCTAATCCATCATCTTTTCCCACCACTCTCTTGTCTACCCCCCTTCTCCCATCTCGCAAATCCACGTGGTTTTATCCTGGGTTGGACTACCCAGTCTCTTGCACATCTTCATCGTACTCAACATCGCCATGCTCCGGGTAAGCCAGCGGAATTTCTATCGGTGTATGGTCGTTTGGATAGCCCGGCACGTCGATGACAATGGGATCGTTCGTTGCTTGCGATGCCTCCGCGTTTGGTACGAATGTCAGATCAATGACCGCCTGATATGACGGCCACTGATCGGAGGTGTTGATCTCGGTACGACTAGCGTTCCATTTACTCTCCCAATCATCTAGTGCCCAATATAAATGCTCTTCTGGCACTTCGTTCTCGTCAGGCAGACTTCCGATAGGAAAATTGCACCTGACCATCGAGGTTCCATTGGCTACATCCTGTATGGCCCGAGGGAATCCAGCCATGATGAACGTCGGACTTGTTCGGATGATAGCTGGGTGGAGTAGACCACCAGGATTGGTCGATGTGCGTCTCTCAAGCGCAGCTTGCCAAGCTGCGTCTTTCAGGGCAACATTGAGGACTTGGGTAGCGCGCGCTGGGTTCGTGCCGCCGATGAACGTCAATTTGAATGCACGTAAGGGCATACCAAACTTCGCCAACGCGATTGCTTCCATAAGCCAACGAGCAATGTACTGACTACTTGTGGTCGCCATTACATTCCACGACGTCTTGGACATAATTTCCATATATCGATTCGGCGATCGATGCGCAATTGTCCGTTCTCTCGGCAGAAAGGTATGAGCCCTCGAGCGTGACATTCAGGCCATGCGATAGAGTCGTCGTCTTCGTCCAGTACAATCCATCGTATCTTCTTCCTCGCTTCTGGGCGAAGACGCTTCATATATCCGATAGCAACGGCAGCAGCTGAGAACCGGTTCTTGTCTTCTGCGAAGAACTCGTTCATGCCGTATGCAGAGCGGGCATATGGTCGCAGCTCGTCTGCATTCCTTTGCAGCTCGTCGAGTTCGTCGTCGGTGGGAATCAGCCACGGCTCGATTGCTTGGCCTTGTGAAGTTTTCAAAAGGCTTTTCAGATAGATATGCGGCATTTGCGGCGGGTCTGTAGCCGAGCCTGGGCAAAATCGCGGCCTTATGGTATCCAGTGTTGATGCAATGAAATCGCGGGTGATAGAAGGGACTTCCTTCCACTGTTCTCTATACCGGTCGACATCCGTGTCACGCAATGTCTTTGCATGATCAAGGAGGGGTAGAAACTGGGCGTGGTTTGTTCGAACGTAGGAACGAGCAGCGTCGTCATACCAATCTGACATCGTGAGCAGCCTTCGTAAAGCCCTGTCTCGCGTATTGGATAGCTCGGTGAGGAGGTGACGGATCTGCGAGTAATTGGGCTTCGTCATAGGTAGCGCAACCGTGGTGAAATGTATCTCGTTGTATTTGAACACGAAATCGCGCGTTTCTTGCGCGATGAGCTTGTTTACTGTCCTGAGTGCCATTGCATTCTTTTCCTGATGCGATGCGACAAACTTGTTGGTCGCTGGGTTATAAGTGTAGCCATCTTCAAGCCTGAAATAGTATCCATAAATCTCTTCTCGGAGTTCTGCGGGCAGGCCGACAATGCCCTGCTTTGCTAGCACTGAAACGTGATTGAGTTCGTGAGCCATTGTGGTCGTGGATCGTGGAGGGTCGGAAAATGCGTTGCGATGGTGAAGTTGCGGAGAGGCGAGGCAGCTCGGCAAGATGCGATCATTGATGTGGGGTCGTATCTCATAACTAGCGGGACGCTACGGTGGCATTTAACGAGGTTGGGGAGCGGGCTCCTCACCTACAATTTCGGTCCAAAAGTTACTGGGTCCACAGCCAAAAATCATGTCTGATGCAGATGATGGTGTCAAAGCGTCTGATTCGCTCTCCAATAGCTACCTCGGCAGGCTACCACAGGAGTTGCGAGACGAGGTTTACAAGCATTACTTCACGACGCGTGGTGGCTATCGCATCGATCCCATCACGAACACCTTGCGTGCAGTTGATGGAAATCCCATTAATCTATCATTGAGGTCAACATGTCACGCGATCGCGAAAGAGACGGAAGGGTTAGCGCTCCAATGCAACACCATCCACGCCACGACTACCGAAGAGAAGCGCTTCATAACGGCAGCTTACCACTCGTTGAGAGTAACAAAAGGGCATTCCTTCGATCATCACAAGGCTCTGGTGAAGCTCTCTAGATACATTACCCCAAGTGTAGCCGATGAGATCCTGGAAGGGTTCCCTCAGTATAGGAACGCGCTGCAGGAGTTGATAGCAAACAGAAATAGGGAGGGGCCAGGTAGGACATACATGCGCTGCACTCCTCCCACAGCTACAGAAGCCTGGTCTACGGAGCTGAAGTTCGTCTCTCGCGCCGTGAAGATAATGAACGAGCGCTTGGATATCCCCGGATCACTATCCATTGCTCTAAACCTTCTGCATTTGTCGCCACTATCAAACACCGGTCTGGAGCAGCAAGCGCCCTGTTGGGAATTCCAGAGAAAAACGAACCCTTTCGAAATCGTTTTCAGCCGGGTCGATGGAAGGCCCGTTAGAGGTGAAGATAAACCGTCATCCTGCTTTTCCGCAGCGGCCGTAGCAATACGATTCTGGAACGCTCTCGACCCGACGACCCGCAGGCAAATCCGAAGATTCGATATAGATGAGGATATGCGCTCCAGATTCTTCCCCATGTGCCATGCGGAGGGCTTCATCCCGTTGTGGCAAGAGAACCCCAAGCTTCGCATCAATCGTCGAGTCAATCTCATCAATACTATTGTCGAAGAAGCTCGTCAACCTGATAGACGGGCTTGGCATCGGGAGCACGCGCATCATGCAGACAGTAGGTGCTGTGGAAGCTCAAAGCTCAAGATTAAGGCTGACAGGCGCACAGAACTGAAGACACTTTGGGATTGGATCGCCGAGTTCAAAGCATTACATGCGTCATTTGACATCCCCAAGGGGGCTTTTGGTCTCTCCTTTTATTCTGACGCGTCACCTGAAGACACCAAAAAGATAGTCGACGTTATGCAAGAAGCGGCGGCCTGGCAGATGGCGCTCGACAAAGTAGCGAAGAGCGGAAACGCAGGTAACACGCATGCCCTTGGGTTCAACTACTCTGATTACCTTTGGGACCCACGCGGGCTGGCGTGGCTTGAGTTGCAGGATATATCAAGGGGTTCCTCGGTGATCAAGTGCGACTTTGACATGGGTCAGTCTGTGGACCCAGAGGACTTGTATGATGGCAGTGGTCGCTGGCCGCATGAGAGATGGAATAGCCACTGTGCTGTGAATGACTCCAACAGTTGGCGGCTTACGTGGCAAGTACGATAACATCTATCGGTCGCATTCCACGATATCAATGAAACAGAACACTACCAGGCACAGAAGGAGTGATAAATGCGACATCCTCAATTATTATTTCAACAAAGCAAACATCGCGCGACATATCTACCACACCGCATCCCCATCTACCCTACGACCCCCCAAACCCCTTCTCCAATCCCCTCAACCAAATCCCCGCCGCATACGCCCCCGGATCAGGAATCTTACTCCTCTCACTCCCATCCTCACTAATATACGTCGCGCGCCCAAACTTGGCCTTCATATCCTTGGTGCTATCCGCCTTCTTCTCCGCGACATCCACACTCTTGCTCAGATCCTTGCTCTCGGCCAACGTATTGATAAAAGGGATCAACACATCCATGACCGTTCTATCACCCTCCCGTGCACTAGTATAGTTCTTGAGGTTCTCGAGAGCGGCGGAGGCAGAGGATGCGAGCGTTGAGATATCCAGCGGTGCGTTTTGGGAAAGTGTAGCTTTTGATAAAGCGTTTGTAAAGGCGGTGACGAGGATGGAGAGGATGGCGCCGAGGGAGCCGCCGACGTCTTCGACGTTTTCGCCTATGCTTTCGAGGAGGGCGAGGATGGGCGGTGGGTTGCTTTCTACGGCGTCGATGTTGGCGAGGATGGATTTACAGACGCCGGCTACGGCTTCGCCGCAGTCGCCGTCGCCCATTTGCAGGTCGTATTGCGTGATTGTGGGTTCGGCTGCGAGGGCGTCTTTGCAGGCTTGACGGAGCGCGGGGATGAGGGAGGGCGGTGTTGCGGGGCCCTTGTGGAGGAGGGATTTGTCGGCTGCGGCTGCGTTGGCTTTGTTGCGGAGCTCTTCGGTTTCCTTGTTGATGTTGAGGGGTTGGTAGCCGTTCTTTGGCCATGCTGGAGCGTTTGTGGGTGCGTCTAGCAGTTCCATTACGTCTTCATCTTTGAGATCCATGGCCTTTGCCATTCCGCTCATGTTGCCTAGTGTGATGCTGAAGCCCTGCGCGTTCAGTGATGTCTCCAGCACGCCGGCGTAGATGCGTGTTGGTACGATCTTCCAATCTCGCTTCAAGGCTATCAGAGCGAGGTTCACCAGGGCGTCGAATTCGAGGTTTGACAGGCCACCGAAGTTATTGACGAGCATGACAACGTTGTCATTGGGGTTGAAGGTGACGAATGCGCGGTCGGAGTCGGAGGGGTCGAGAAGGTAGCGGAGCATCTCTTTGATCACGTCTTCGGGACTGGGCATCGGAGAGATGGTTCGTAGACCCTGGAGAAGTCAGTTCACCACCTTAAGCTTGCTGGGGATGCGATAGCAAAACTTACAGGCTCGTTGTGAATACCCATACCAACCACACAAGCATCGTCCTGTACGCTCTCGAATGCCTCTCGACCTGGTACGTGGCAATGGTCCAGACTCGTGCCAATAGTGACCAGCTGCGAGTTACCCAACTCGCCAATCTTCCTACACCGCTCGAAAGCCCAGCCTTTCTGTGATGCGGCGCCAGCAAGCTTGATGACCAACAAGTTACCAGCCAGTCCTCTCCTTCCAACCTTGCCGCTCTTCTCGCGGCCCAAGGCAGCGTCTTCCGCCATGCACACAACGTCGACCTTGTAGCCTAGTGCTTGGCCTTTCTCCCTGGCAAGACCAAAATGCAGCATATCTCCGGTGTAGTTTGTTATGCACAGTATGACGCCCTCATTACTCGGCACGTTCCGTATTCCTGCCATGATTTGCTTGGTACTGGGAGAAGCGAAGATGTCTCCGCATACGGCAGCTGACAGCATGCCGTCGCCGACGAAGCCGGACCATGCCGGCTCGTGTCCTGAGCCGCCGCCAGATACGATGGTGACTTGATTCGGAGGGTGTGAGAGGTTGTAGACAACGCGGTTGGCCTCATCAAGCGCCATGTGGGAGTTGCGTGTGCATAGGGAGCGGAGGTTGTGGAGGATTACGCCCTCCGGGTTGGGGAAGAAATGCTTTCTCGACATTGTAGCGGTTCGTATCGATATGTGTAGTATTCAAATGTCTGAAGGTTGTTAGCGACTGTAAAGTGTTTGGCTACAATAGTGTGAAGCCGGAGATTGCTGGAGAACATACCACAATTCAATCACGTATGACAACGTGTACACAGCTCGAAAACAGCGGAATTGGATCCAAGAAATCAAGACACGCGGCGTACCGCCAATTCAGCCGGGCATCGTGCCTTTTAAACAAGTCCCCCGCAACCCCCGCCTCGATCAACATCATGACCATGAACCCCGCTCGTGGGCACCCCGTCAACTCAATTTTTCGGTGCCAGGTATTCAACACGCGTCTAGAAGCCTAAACACGCGCTCAAATTAGCCCGAAACGATGTCAGAATGATATGCTAGGCGTGAGTATACTACATTCGGATAAGTGGGCTGCTGGAAGCTGGGGAGAGGGTCGTGTTTGCGCCGGGGTTGCCGCTTTGGGGATGCCGGGCGGAAGCTTGGCTTTTGTGGAGGAAGCTCGCATCGGTCGGGGCTCCGAGAGCTATTAGGTCGGCGTCTCGCGACGAGACGCTTGTAGTACCTGCAGTATCCGCGCGGCACGTAGAAATTTGGGACCTTGCGGAATAATTCTGAGCTGTGTAGGATACGCGTGCAAGCCTGGCAAAGTTGGGTTTCGAACATGCAGGCGAGCTGATCGTATTGATATCATCGCAAAAGGAAGCGGGCTATGATCGCTCCCTCCTCAGTACCAGCAAATCGACGGAGCGCCTCACTCACAACTCTCCGTTATCGAGTGCCCACACATCATGACAAGAAGCCGAACAATCCCTTCAGGAAAAGCCAGACCCCCATCAAGACCATGACTTTCTCGTCAAGCATGATCATATAGCCACACATGATCTTCTAGTCAAACATGATCTTCTTGCCCTTCAACAGTGTGCCACCGAGCAGTTTGCCAACTGCGTATCCAATGTAAGCGCCGGTAACGATCGTGACGGGCCACTTCTGCCATTCGCGGTCCCTGCGTTTCGTTAGCTATGCCCACTGCAAATACGTTGCGAACTCCGGCCTCAACGCTAGGGTTCATCTAGCACTTACCAATCCAACGGAATAGGTACAGCGCCCAGCCATGCACCGAGCACGGTACCAATCAGTCCTCCGTAGACCTCATCCATCGGCAGAAGTAGCGCGATGATCTGCCTCCAGGTCTCGCCGTCTACACCGTGTACGTATACCAAAGGCAGTGTGCTGAGCAGCGCGATGTGGGCACCAGCAAGAAGCGTGTGCATGTGATGCGTGGTGGCAGGCGCGCCGAAGAGAACGAGTGTCGCGGTGA